CCAGGGCGGTCGGTAGCCGGTAGCCAGCACCAGGATCGCGAGCAGCGCTGCTGCGATGGTCTCGAACCACGCTCCGGACAGCAGCATCCTCCAGTCGAATCCCTGCATCGAAGATGGATTAAAAAGAGGAGAAAGGATCTTTTTTTCCAAACGCGTGATCGATTCGTTTGCGGGATCGAGTCGCAGCAAGAGCGCGGGAGCGGGAGCGATTATCTCGTTACGACGCGCGAAACGCTTGTCTCGCCTTCGCGGGTACGTCGGTCGCGAAATATGTAGTACTACGACTGGCGCCCCGTATCTCTCGGAGCGTTTTGAGTCATTATTTGGACTGACGTCCCCGAGGAGTGAGGACGCGTCGAGGTTTTCAGTCTCAACGGAGAGAACGTGTGATTAATTTTAATTCTCAAAATATTAAAAGAGCGAATCAAGCTACTTTTTTATGGTGGCGGCTTCTCAGATACATCTTGTAACCCTCCTGTATACCTTTGCGGTTCGTAGCCCTATTTGCGTCAAAGAAAATGCGGGATATCACCGATGGGATAAAACAGCGTCTCTTCGCCTTACAATCGCAGAATCATTACAAAAGCGCGATTGCCGGAGCCTCGTGCACATTGGACGTTTAACTCAGCTGTAAATGACGAAGACGCATCTTTCGACGTGCCGGATCTGATAAGGCGCTACGATTTAGCACTGAAAAAACGCGTGTGATGCCGAACGCGCAATAATAAGCATCGCGCATTTTTGTTAGCAATTCTCACCGAGAAAAGGAAAAACAGAGAGAGAGAGAGAGAGAGAGAGAGAGAAAGAGAAAGAAAAGCAGGATCAATCGGGGTAATTGTGACGAACAAACCGGACGTTTCGCTAATTTTCAACAATAAAATTAATAATCATCGTAAAACGATGATAAATTTGTTTGATATTAAAAAGCATTACAATGACAAATTCAAAATAGATAACAGCTACATTCGAAATAACACGTAAAAAACTTTAAACGGTGATATTTCAAGAATGAAATATCATTTCACTTTGATCCGTCCATTATCTAATCATTCTGACGGTAATCAACGTCATTAGAGGTACCGTACATGACCGCTACAAGGGCGTAGAAAAAAAGCAAATTGTCTCGACCTTAGCGAAGCTTTTTCTACCTTGGGAACATGGATACTATA